TGTGCTGTTATCTTGTTTGTTCATCCCATTCCAACCGCTCTGACCAGCACCCCCGGCAGTTTGCGAGATTCGAATTTCATGCAAAAGTCAATACTCGTCAACTTTCTTCCACAAACCCCTTCCAGAAGCCTGCCGCAATCGAACGACGGGTTACGCACGTCTCATTTCCCTCTTCTGACATCTAAGCCCCCCGTCTTCTTCCTTCGGCTTCGGAGGGCTCCCGGACGGGTGCCAATTCTTCTAGTCCTACGCAACAGAACCTCGTGTCGATCCCCGTGGTCAAAGCAGAAGAGCGAACGAGAAGCAAGTGCAAGGTGTGGATGGCGCTCAACTGCCCTGGTCCATGCCTCGCTTCAAGCCTCATGGAATCAAAGAGAGAGAGAGAGAGAGAGAGAGAGAGTGTGTGTGTGTGTGTGTGTGTATGTGAGAGACAGTGAGAGACTCTGCGAGAGATTCTGGGAGAGGGAAAAAGAGAGACCAAAGGCTGAAGGGGGGCTCCGCATCTACCCCGTAGCCACCACACTATCCCGGAGCATGCTGCCCAAAGGGGGATAATCCTAGCAACGGGCCCTAGACGTGTCGTGGGAGGAGAACTCTCGACTCCTCGACTCTCGACACACACTCACGCTGCTCCTCACACACTACCCAGTCTAGAAGGGAGATTGACATCCATTATCCGCCCCCATGCCTCAAGCACCATGTTCAAGCACCATGCCTCAAGCAACACAGCCCGCCTAGCAGGGCCAAGAAAGCTCGCCGTCGCGCCGGAAACAGATCCCTGGTCATTCATGACCCTTCTCTCGATTCTCCAACGCAGTTTGCTTTCCTCAATATAAAGACTCTGCATCATGGCCCTCTCACTTGATGAACTTGTCAGGAGTCTTCCCTGCAGCCTAGTCATTCTTTAATATCCCCCTCGGGTCGGTCATCCCCTCCCGTCCCCTTCCTCAAGGCTCCAAGACTTTCCTCCGTTCCGCTCCTTTCTCTCTTCAGCCCTGTCAAGATGAAGTCCTCCGCCGTCATCGCAACGGCGACCCTGGCCGCCGCGCCTTTCGCCGCCGCGGGCCTTCTCCCCAAGCGCGTCGAGAATGCTACGTGCCGCTCCCTCCCCGGCGACGCCAGCTGGCCCGCCACGACGGCTTGGGATACCCTCAACACCACCGTCAGCGGCAAGCTCATCGCCACCGTGCCCATTGGCTCTGTGTGCCACGATCCCAATTACGATGAGGCTGCCTGCACGGCACTGCAAAATTCGTGGACGCTTCCCGAGACTCAGTAAGTTCATATTTGATGTCGCAAATTATGCGAAAGATCAACTAATAAGCCCCCTAGTTTCCCTTCCTCCTCTTCCGTGATGCAGAGCTACTTCGCCAACCAGTCCTGCGATCCCTTCACGGACCGTACGCTTCCGTGTCTGCTCGGAAACTACGTCAACTACGCTGTTGAGGTGACATCTGCCCAAGATGTTGTCGAGACTATCAACTTTGCGCGGGAGAACAACATCCGATTCCTCGTCCGCAACACCGGTCACGAGTAAGTCTGCACTATTTTGCTCTTCTACTCTGAGCACTTTTCCCCCACGAAACATTCCCGCTAATCAATGACCCAGCCATCTTGGCCGCTCAACCGGTGCCGGAGCCCTCGCGGCGTGGACCCACAAGCTCAAGGAGATCACCGTGACCACTTGGTCCGACGATCTCTGGTCTGGCCCCGCAATCAAGATGGGCGCCGGCGTTCTCGGCTACGAACTCACCGAGGCCGGCAAGACGGCCGGCCTCGTCGTCGTCGGTGGCGAATGTCCCACCGTCGGCCCCGCCGGAGGCTACATCCAGGGTGGTGGCCACTCGGCCCTCACCACAAACTTTGGTATGGCCGCTGACCAGGCGCTCGAGTTCGAGGTCGTCACCGCCGACGGCAAGATCGTCACCGCCTCCCGCACGGAGAACGCGGACCTCTTCTGGGCCCTCAGCGGCGGCGGCCCTGGAACCTTCGGCGTCGTCACCGCCGTCACCGTCCGCGCATACCCCGATGCCACCATCGGCGGCGTTGGCCTCCAGACGGCTGCCTCGTACACCACTCAAGAAAAGTGGTGGCAGATGCTCGACGCATTCCACTCCCTACTCCCCGGTATGACCGACCAGGGCGCCATGGTTGTCTTCCTCTACAGCAGCAACGTCTTCGCCATCAACCCTCTCACGGCCTACAACAAGACGGCCGAGGAGGCAAAGACCATCCTCCAGCCCTTCCTCGACGTCCTCGCCAACCTCTCCATCCCCTACTCCTCCGCCGCCACAAACTACTCGAGCTACCGCGACCACTACGACAAGTGGATGGGTCCTCTCCCCTACGGCCACGTCGAGGTTGAGTCCTACAACTTTGGCTCCCGCCTCGTGCCCCGCTCCGTCCTCACTGACACCGCCGCCCGCGCAACCTACGTCTCGGCCATCCGCTACGGCGCTGACAACCACGGCGTCCTCTCCGCCGGCGTGGCCCTCAACGCCACGGCGCCCGCGGGTGTCGACAACGCCGTGAACCCGCACTTCCGCAAGGCCGCCATCCACGTGCAGTACTCGACGGCGTGGAGCAACGACCCGGCCGACTGGGAGCAGATGAAGGCCGACCAGAAGACCATGACGGAAGAAATCATCCCGCCCATCGAAGCCGCCACGCCCGGGTCCGGAAACTACGTCAACGAGGCCGACTTCAACATCCCCGACTGGAAGGAGAAGTTCTTTGGCGGCAACTATGACAAGTTGCTCACCATCAAGACCAAGTGGGATCCCTCGGGCGTGTTTTACGCGCTCAAGACGGTCGGTAGCGACGCGTGGAATGTTGCTGCTGATGGTCGGATGTGCCGTGCATGATTGTCTTTTTTGATGATGAGGTTTTTGGAAATCAAGCGTCTAGGAGTTTTGTGAGGGTTTATGAGTACATATACATCTAATACAGATAGAGGCACTGTATAAGTGACCTCCTTTTCTGGTTCAACATCGTTCGGCTTCAGTTCAGTACGTGGTGATGTGTAGTCAGTGATGCGTTCGAAAGTTGAGACTCGACATGGGCCATCACAGTCTCGACGTCATTCTTACCCGTAACACCACCAAGTCTGAAAGTCCACGTTGCTCACAATCAATGTCCAAAATCTACCCCCCACTCATGCCCTCATTCATGATCGTCATTGAGGCTGATTCTTCCCATCCGTGATTACGTGAGGGTCGCTGATCGACTCCCCTGTTCCCCCGCCTGTCTCTGTCAGACCCGAGATGCATAAGCACCCCCACAACGAATCCAATAAACCACTATCCACCTTTGGTTCGCCTTGTAAGGTTTCAGTAAGATGCACCTCGCAAGTCAGGATGGATGGGTACGACGAGGCAACGGGCACTCCACCCTCTCTGTTTCTGCCTGGCGCCAGGTGAGAATGTCGGTATGCTTAACAGTATTGCGGCCTCCACCTCGACTTCTCTAGAGTCTCGGCCCCGGCAGCCTTGCCAGGCGTCGTGGGGAGGGGTGAATTTTGCTGACATGACGATCACAGACCAAAATTGGGTGTGTACCATCGTCTGAAGCGGCTCTACACGAGACCGCCATGTAGGTACATGTACTTGAGTATCCAAGAGGAAATAAAAGAAGCCCGAAAATCCTTTCTGTAAGTTTTCCTCCAATCTCGAGGATTGATATCAGCGCACTGCATCTCGGCGAAGCAAATACCATATGCACATCAACATGAACTGCAACTCATTCTTTTCGTGTTACAATTTAAACCCATCTGCATCTCCCACCCGGCGCCTATGTGCCCGTTGTCTCGAGCCGTACGAGTCCCAGCATGTCTGCCACCAGTCCCAGAAACCCTCTGTGCCGGTAATAGCTTGACTTACGGTCAGTATCTAAGTTGGATTGATAGGTACGATGCCGGCAAAGTCCTTACCAGTGTCAAGGTTGGCTAATAAATGACTAGCTGCGAACTCCGATGAGATGGGGGAAGGATGAGTCGATGAGAGCGTGTTTGAGGTTATTCTACACTTCGGAGTTTTTACAATTTTCGAGTGTAATACAATGACCGGTCAGGCTTCTACAATGTTTCTTACCCTGTGATAGGAAGACTGTCAAGGTCTTAGGTGTTTAATATCATTCAAAACCCCCCTCCTTGGTATTCCAAAAAAAGAAACTGTGCTCTATGTTACGTACTTGGACGTGCCATCATAGACGACCTTACTGAGTGGGATCATAGCTCTAATACTAAGGTATCAAGTAAGTAAAGCTCAGAGTCAAACTTAGTGACGTTGCGTTTCTTTCCAGCCTTCAGAGAGGGTAAGTACGTCAAGCTGCTCATGTTGTGGAAGCACACCCAAAGCTCCCAAGTACCTAAAGGCGCCTTCTCATCACTCGTCGAGATTTTGAGTAGCTTCAAATAGCGAGCTGTCAATTGAGTGAGGCGTTGGATTGATACCGTGACACCCTTGGCTTCATTGGCCTGCCATGGTATGTCAAGCCTCAAGAGCAAACCGAGAAAGGCCTAATTGATCTCTGGGCAGCTGTGCAACCTCCCCTCTGTTGGGTCATTGCGTCTTTGTTTGAGTAGGGCTACATTCTAACATCATAGTTATGAGTTTTGTCCGATTAGCACTCGTAGGGTCTTATGAAATTGGGTATTAATGTCTCATTCCGTATGTTTTTTTTTTTGTATACCGGCCCCGAAAGTCATGCTGTGTATTGTACAAGCGTAAGCCACGCAACCCAACACCGCCAGCCATGCCAACCGCCCAGAAACCAGAATAGGGGAACCGAATGCCTTGATTGTTCATTAAACAACATCCCTTACCCATCCATTCCTTTACCAGCCTTGACACCTATCAAAGCCATTGTAGTAAATCACGTTGCGAAGGGCGTCGCCATGCCCCAGTCGTAATGCGCCGTCGCGTAACGCGCGACGCCGCGTAGGAATTGAGCCTACCCAATGACCTCTGAGAGGCCAGAGAACGCCGCTGGACAGAGCGTCTCTATGACTCTTCAGTCCGGCGCGGTCCACGCTGAGAGATGGAGCCGCCGCGAGGGCCGCCACGTCCTCCCCGGCCACGGCCATCGCCACGGTGTCCACGACCGCCGCGCCACTCGCCACGACCACGTCCGCGGTAGCCTCCCTCACGATCGCCACGGCCGCGGTTGCGGCCCTGGACCTGGTGGAAGCCGTCGTTGGGGTCGGCAGCAGCGGGAGCAGGGGTCTAAGTACAGTCAGTCTCTCATTCAGTCATCACAGCTCACTTAGACGTACCTCGGGCTGGGTCTCGTGGTGCTCAGGCTGGTCATCGGCCCAAGACTGGGTGTTGGAAACGGCAGCGGGGGTAGCCTCGACGCCAGTCTCGGTCTCTGTAGGATCACGGGGAACAGAAACCCACTCCTGAGAAAGCGACATGCTGTTATCGGCCGACTGGTCCCACTTCTCGCCGGCGGCATTACCGGCGCCACTACCGATGTTGGCGTTAGTGGGGGTCTCGGTGGCCGCCTCCTCGGCCTGGCCGTTGGTGATGGCAACATCGCCAGCCTCGATCTCGTTCACGGTAGCGTTGGCAATGGTCGGATCGGTAACGGCTTCGGTCGCGGCGGTCTCGGTCTCGGCGGGCGCAGGCTCGTCGTAAGGAGACTTGTAGGCCTTGGCAGCTGCCTTGACTTGGCCGACTAGGTACAGAAGGTCAGCATGGGATGTACTATCGAGTTGTGAGAAAAGAGCTCACAGGTCGTCTCGAGCAGCTCGCCGTTGACGCTGTACGTCTGCTCTTCGGCGCCGTCAATCAGCTTAAGCATGGTGGTGACAGCACTGTCGTCACCCGTGTAGATGGCGAGAAGGACACCCTCCAGGGCCTTGTTCTCCTCATTGCTCTGGTCGGCATCCTCGGAGCGGCGGGCGGCAGCGAGACGAAGGAATTGTGACAGGGTGAGGAGCTTGCTGTTGATGCTCTTGCTAGAATCACCCTCCTGCTGAGCCTGCTGAGCCTTCACCTCGGCGACGGCGGCGGCCTTCTCCTTCTCTAGCTTCTCGGCGAAGGACTTCTCCAGCTCTGCCTTCTCAGCAGTAGCACGAGTGCGGTACTCCTGGTCGATCTTCTTGTACTGGGCCATCTGCTCCTCGTACTGTGAGATCTGAGCCTGCAGGGCAGGTTTCTTGAGGTACTGCGCCTTCTGGTCGGCATTGATAATGCGAGCAGCGACGAGGTCGTCGAGGGACTTGCCAGCGTTCTCGGCAATTAGGTTGTCGATCTTTGAGGCATTGGTCTGGTGGGTGGGAAGTTAGCTGATGAACCTTGCCACAGAGAGGGGTAAAGGTAAAGGTATAGGGTAGGCACGAACAAGCTTCTTGGTGGTGTTGCGAATGTTCCTACGGAGCGCGATTAGTATATGAGCAATGGGAGGAGCTCCAATTGTTGATTTCCACCTACTTTTGGATCTCGCGAATGTAGGCAGTCTCGCCGGACTCGTCGGAGGCGTCAGCCTTCTCGGGGGCAGGAGAGGCAGTAGGAGCAGGGGACTCGGTGCGCTCGGCGGCCTTGGCCTTCTTCTTCTTGGCTGACTTGGATTCGGCTGAGACAGCGGGGTTCTGAACGGGAGAGGCGGCCATGTTGAAGCTTGTGGGAGGAGCGCAGTCAACAGGGTCGAGGTCGCGTGAGCTTGGATGGGAATTTTCCAGAGGTGGTGGTGGCCAGCTACGGGCAGAGAGCGCGCAGGTGAGAGGCAAGTAAACAAACTTGTGAAGAGTAAGGTAAGGTGGGATGTACAATCGTAGGAGGAAGGTCCTAGGATAGAAGAAAGATACTCAGAGGAGAGGCGTTGTGATGGGGGAAAAGGTAAAGTTATTGTGAAGAGGTGGATGTGCAGGTTTTGGACGGATCAAATTTGGAGTTCACGGAAGATGACACTCCAGCTCGTAGACGGCAGGCAGGCACGTAGCTCGGGGCCAGAGTGCAGCTCAGTAGAGGGGACACTGTCGGCCGGGAGAAGCTGAGGTCCCGGGGTACCTTTTCGGTGGGGGGTTTTCAGGCGTTCAGGCGGTGATTCAACCTGGGAGTGGGTTCCTAGAAGCTGAGGAGCCGGAGCCACCCCTGCTGCCAGGCTACTTTTCCCCTTAAGTTCCCCTTCCCTTCCCCTAAAAACCCCTGTCTCCACTGCTCTCCGCCGGGGTTCTAGAACTGGTCAGAAGAAAAGGTACATGCACTTGTACTGAGGTGGTAGGGTAGGCCCATGGAGCATTTAGGTTGGAGGCGCGTCAGGTCTTCAAGACTACATGTTTCGGTTTCGACGGTTGGCATGTTGAATCTGTCATGTTTCTCGCCTACTGTCCTGGCAACCTGAGTACAGCTCAGTCCTCTGAGGCTTTGTGTTGCAAAAGTAATAAGATTCATCGTACTACGCCTCGCGGCACCATCTTCTTTTATGCCTTTTACTCCTAGCCTTCCCTGTTCGGATGACGTACCAGACAGGGCATCTCAGCCTTGTCTGGGACTAGCCATCGCTCTCTCACGGGAATTACCTATGGACATAAAGTAATCTGTACGGTGTACTCCGTACTCATGCGCAAAACTCCCCTACTGACTAGGCCGCGAGCATCACCACCCGGACCCGTCAATGACAGAATTCTATCCATGAAAACACGCCATGTCGCCATTAATTAGGGTGTCGTGGTCATCCAAACGTTGACGAGGCTCATGCCGGTGCTGTTCAGATGAAGGGGCCACTGAACACCCGCGCCCTGCTCCTCCAATCATTGCGTGCCGACGCGGTACAAGAGACGGTGGCTAGCATGAGGCGAGCCTCTCTGTCGCAGACCAACGCGCAAGCCTCGAGACTGAGTCCATCTTTTGCATAGCCCTTCTACGCCAGGTATGTTATGTTGTTGGTTGTCGCCATGTGACATCAACAGGATCGCGTTCGGGCGTATTCGACCACGCTGATGGCATCGACAGCCTCGGGTCGCGAAGTAGTCAAGTGCTGTTTAAGTCTCGAGTGATTTCTGGAGGTTCGATATCGATGAACTGGAAAATCAACCTCGGAACTTGGTAAGAGTGTCCTACAAAATCCAATATTAGCCTCCCCACGCAATCAAAGTTGCTGTTAGTATGGCTGTGCAACATACCGAGGTCACTTTCTTGACACTTCGAGCCGTGATGCCTCGTTCGCCAGACTTCTTTGACTCAATGGCGGCCTCTTTGACTAGTCTATCAAGAAGTCAGCATCTAGATGTGCCAATTGTGAGTTCGATAACCTACGTCTGCATGTACAGGACGTAGTCGAGGTAGATCTGAAGACTAGTCAGCAGGGCGTGCAAGGCGCGTTGGTAAGCGACTAACCATGACGTCCACATTCTTGCTCAAGTTGCAGTTCGAATGCGCTTTGATAATCTTTTTGACAGTGCCGCGCGGGTATGCCTTTTGGCCGGGTGCCATCGCGAGCTGTGGTAGACTGTGTGTACCGCGGCGAGGACGAAACGTGGTTGAGATTGCAGTCGCGGGCTGGATTGAGGTGTCGCGTGCAAGCTGTTGCGGCTCGGTGTGACGTTCCGGTGTGGGGGAACCCAGAGCTTTTGTTTTGTTTGGCACAGGCCACCAGTGAATAAGGTAGGTAGAGACCTTGATTGAACTTTCCCCGAGAGTCGAGAGTGGAGCAGTGCATGACCCCTCCGCACTGTGGCGCGTCACTGTGACCCTCCTTCTGAGCTTTTTGGTAGCTCCAGCGTTGAGGCTGTGATCGTTACCGACATCATCGTCAAACACCACCCCACGCAACACGTTGCACCACACACCTCCAAGATGTTGTCACGGCGCATGGTATGATTTCCGCATTCAACGGCTTACTGTTCATACTGACACTATATTTGCAGCTTACCAAGGCGGACGAGGAGTCCGTCGGCGACGAGGTCGAAGTTAGGAGGGAGGACCAGGACAAGATCAACAAGTTCAGTCGTCTGCACCAGCGCGAACTCATAATCGAGGAGGAACTCAAGAACAAGAGCGTTAGTCGCATCTCTATACGATCGCCGACAAGCAAACCCATCTAATATCTATGTGTCGTTGCAGAAAGAAAAGGAAGAGCTCGAGGACCTCAGCACAGAATTGGAGCTTGCCGACGAGGACGAAACCGTACCGTACGCACCCACGAAGGAATCTCGAAGACGCACCGAAAGACCATACTGACAATCGACCACAGGTACAAGATTGGCGACGCTTACTTCCACGTATCGCAGCCTCAAGCAATAGAGATGCTCGAGCAGGCATCGACCAAGATCGAGGAGGATGTCGAGGGGTTAGAATCGAAGCTGGAAACGATCAAAGAGGACATGAACCAACTGAAGGTCGAGCTGTACGCCAGATTCGGAAAGAGTATCAATCTCGAGACATAAAAGAAATACAATCGAGAACAAACTTCAACGTCGTCACGAATCGCATCGCCGTTTCGGATCGCGTACCCTGAGAGAAAATCCGGTCAATACTTTATCAAAACGTGGCCAATGAAGACTGAGGGGGAACATTTTTCCGTCGTTGCGGATGTGCGACTCGAAGGGATCTGATAAGGGTAGACGCTTTCGGCCGACTCAAGTCTCTCCCACGGTAGGTGTGCACCTCAATCTTTGAACAACGCATACCTAGGTCCATCCTGAGACGCAGCGGCGCATTCCACTAGCGGTGGCGTCTTTTTACCGGTGGCGGCATCGCTGTCGCTACTCTATGAGTCGTGACGAAGCGCGGCAGTCGATGGCGCTATCGCAAACCCAAATGACCTCTGTGGAGGGGGCAACAAGGGCAGCGCCGGGGATGCGGCGGGAAAGCACATCGCCGCGCCGCGGCCGGATAAGCGGCCCTCCAAAACCAAGTGGGTCTTGCGGTTCGGCTCCGATGAGTCCATGACAGACCAATGGCGAGACACGCCTTTTGTTCTCGTCTACCTACCAGTACCTAGGTAGTTTGCTGTTTCCCCCCTCCCCTCATCAGCCGTGAACGGGGATAAGGCTTCGTCTCTTGTCTCTTACACCCGGCCACTCAGGAATGCTTCTCGGTTGCTAAATTGTGAAAAAAAGATGGTGGGAACGACGACTAGACCGGCTCGGTCCACAAGGGTGATCGGCCACATGCAGCATGCAGTCACCGATTTTCGGGCATCTGTGGTTTTGGGGCCATTATTCTTTGGGCCATTATTCATCCATTTCCGTATTTGACGGCCACCCTCACCCACACCTCCCACCACTTTGCTCTCCCCTCGTGTCTTCTGAGATGGGAATCCAACACAGAAACATAACAGTGTGTGCTAATACGCTGCTCCCGGTTCGCCATGCCCGCCTACAGCGAATCCGCAGAAGATGCTACAGATAGTCTGCCATATTTGCAGCGTGAGCATCCCCATGGACAATACGTTTTGTGACCAAAGTGTAACATTACATAGGCAATCGATCCTCTCTGTCAGAGACGGTGAGGAGGATTGATGAAGATGAAGCACGCCAAAGATATGAGGCTCGTGCTGAAGAGCAGGGTCTGGACGAAAAGAAGATGGCCAGCCCCAACTCATCAAGCGACGAAGATGAGCCGACGATAATATCTTGGGATGACGGCGACCCAGAGAACCCGTATAACTGGTCACACGTATGTTATAACCTCATATCTACATATCTAGTGACTAACCAGTTGTAGACCAAAAAGTTCCTGATCCTTTGCTTAACCATGATGCAAGTCATCAACAGCACGATGGGCTCAGCCCTCCCGTCCAACGCGATCCCCTTCATAACCGCCGAATGGGGCATCACAAATGAGCAACAGCAGGTCTTGCCCATCTCCGTCTTTCTCATCGGCTACGTTTTCGGGCCCGTAGTCTGGGCACCTCTCAGCGAGCATCTCGGCCGGAGAATGTTGACCATTATAACCTTTGTCATGTTCACCATCTGGACCATGGCCTGCGCCCTCGCGCCCAACTGGCCTGCATTCCTCTTCTTCCGCTTGTTCACTGGCGTCTTCGCCAGCTCACCCATCGCTATCGTGGCCGGTATCCTCGCAGATATCTACGGTGACACTGAGACCCGCGGCCGTGCCATGACGGCCTTCATGGTCGTAAGTCATCCCTGCGACTTTTCCCGATTTCGCTCTCTTGAAGCTTTGCTAAAAACTCGTAGACAACCACCTTCGGCCCTCTCTTCGCCCCCATCGTTTCTGGTTTCTGCTCCACGACAATAGGCTGGCGCTGGTCCTTCTGGGTGGCTCTCATCTACGCCGGCCTGACCCTCATCCCGATCCTCCTTCTCCCCGAGACCTACGCGCCCGTCCTGCTCCTCCGACGAGCACGAAAGATCCGCAAATTAGACCCCTCCGCCGCCGTCATTGCGCCCCGCGAGATGGAGAGCACAGACTTCAAGCACATCGCAACCGTCGTCCTCACCCGCCCCGTGCGCATGATTATCTTCGAGCCCATTGTCAGCTGCACGTGCGCCTACCTGGCCCTCGTCTATACAATTTTCTACATGTCCTTCCAGGCCTTCCCCATCATCTTCCAGAAGCTCTACGGCCTCTCTCCTGGCGTGGCCGGGCTGGCCTACCTCCCCATAGGCGCCGGCGCCCTGCTGGTGGTGCCCATCTTCATCGGCTGGGAACAGGGCCACCTCCGCGCGCAGCGCAGCGGTCGCGCGTGGGCGAAGCGCGAAGAGTTCCGCCGTCTCCCTCTAGCCTGCGTCGGCGGACCGCTGTTCTTCATCTCTTTGTTCTGGCTGGGCTGGTCTTCCAGAGAGGGCGTCAGCTTCGTCGTGCCCATGTTGGCGGGAATCCCGTTCGGAATGGGCTTCATGCTCATCTTCATCGCGCTGCTCAACTACCTCACCGATGCCTACGAGATCTTTGCGGCCAGCGCCAATGCGGCGGCCTCGACTAGTCGGTCTCTACTCGCTGTCGTGCTGCCGCTAGCGACGACGCGCATGTTTAATAAGCTCGGCATTGCTGGTGCTTGTAGCTTGCTAGGTGGATTTAGTGCTATCATGTGCATCATTCCCTTCATCTTTATCTGGAAGGGTGAGCAGATTCGAGCGGGGTCACGGTTTTGTATCGCGCTTAGGGAGAGGAAAGCTGAGATGCAGAGAAAGGTCGAGGAGCAGAAACAAAGGGAGGAAGCGAGGAGGGTCAGGTTGAGGGACAGCTCTGGGGCCCGGAAAGAGGAGGTTTGAGTTGTCTTACGAACGAACGAATCGACGAAGACCGTCCTGAGGACCGTTGGTCTAGCAAAGTCAGAGATGAAACATCTACCGAAAGAGAGAAGGAAATACTGGCCTGAGAGGCATATATAACGAGAGTGGTCACAAGAGGTCTGTCGATGACATCCACTGAGTGGTAAAGGGGTACAACCTCTGGGCAAGAAGTTTAAAACGGCGATTTACATCAAGATGGTGCCTTTTCTCAGCAAAGATCCAGAGATTTGGCTTTTGGGGAGGTTGAGAGCGGGATAGCATGTCCAATGAGGCATGGACACAGCACGACCTCATCCTGTTCCAGTGGCAGGACGAAAGTTGAACATAGCATTGACGATGATCAACCAAAAGCATTAATCCATAACACATAATACAAATTGCTTCATACCCCGACACTTCCGCTTCAGGAGCGGCTTTCCATGATACTTAGGAGCCTAGTGTCGTATTATGTGGGGCATCAGAGCATATCTCATGCAGGAATCTACTTCGCAACGATATAGCTTCCCCAAGACTCAAACTTGACTTCGTCATTGCCTTCCGATATTCTCTTTCTGAGGTTCTTCACTGAGATGCGGCGTGATGGCTATACTGACAGGCTTTCCTCTCACATATTGAAGTGTTTGCAGAGCGTCATATCGCAATACCGGTCTCTCTTCGATATTGCGAAAGTACCTGAGGTAGAATCTCCCATGGTATAAAGTAAAGAGACCGATGTGTTGACACTAAGCGGTGCACATACTGCAACAGCAAGTCTCTCTTTAGCTCACTCAAGAACCTTGTAAGTATAGAGGCGTGCTTCGCACTTGACCCATGTCATTGACGTCGGCTACCAGCGAAGGGTTTTCCTCTATATCAAAAGTCGGGGCTTTTCGGCTGAAAGCCATGTACTTTGGTTGGGAGTAGTGAGATTTCTGCCTAAGAATTCTTGAGGAGGAGGGAAGTCTTTCACAAGGACACACCTGTGAAGGTTTGCATGTATTGGTCAACATAATACTCCATTATTTCACCCTTTAAAACTACCTCCAACAGGGCCTGGCTTGTCGTCTCTTAGGGAGAACATAGAATTGTCCGCCAAGAAGCTATAGAGATGAGGAGAGACACCAACGCAGACCTAGTAGACGTGCCTGCAGCCCTCGTAACGATCCACGAGGACCCTGCAGCTGGGGCATTGATTTTTGACAAGAACACTCTAGCAAATTAGCTCATGCGGTTGGTAGTTTGGCTGGAAAACGGACGTTTTTGCCTATTGACGAGCCTCGAAACTGTTTTTCTTGCGCTACTAAAAAACTCACTTATAAAGCGACTTTGTCAATACCTTTCTCTTTCTTTCAGTACATGAAAGCTTGGGTGGAAGACTGGGTAGTAGCTCGGATCGAAGCTAGAGACTTGAGTCTAGCCAGAACCCGTGGACAGGTCGGCATGTGGTCACGTTGGACGTGGTAGGAATTGCAGACAAGTTCAAAGCCCACTACTAGATAGGCTGTCAGTAGAAGCCACCTATCCACACTGATATATTCTAAAGCGTATAAACGTCTAAGAGGGTGGAGGCTTCACAAGCGAGTTTGTGAAATCGAGAGGCTATGCCGTATATCTATTCAGACCATTCTTGAAATTTCTCATAACGGCCTTAGTAAGAGATATCCTCCACACTATATAGTCGGAATGGCAGCTCGGAATCCGCCTTAGGATCACTCCTTACATTTTACGAAGTTATGCTTCTAGTGAGAAAGTTAGTCTGCCAGGTCGCTTCTAGATATCCAACTTCTTCTCGCTAACTGGGCCATGGGCTTAGCACTCTATACAAGAATGGCTGATCCTTTCTATGTCAAAGGCGATATACCAGTTGTGGTATACGGCGAACCGTTCCCTTGTTCCACTCCGAATGAAGACGTTGCGGAGTCCACCTGAAGAAGTATTATCGAGGCGGATAAAGGTAAGCTAAGTAGCGCGGGGCCGGCCAACCGCTTCAAATTCTCACGGTTAAGCCATCCCGGAATATGCTTTAGCAATAATCAACCAACGTGGTCGAAGTTTGCTGACCGGCGCGCCAGCGAGATAGGAAGTCATCTAGAGAAGGGTGTAGGATATGTAGGAATTTCCCTGGCGAGAACCTCGGCGACAAGGATTAGATTCGGTGGCGACGATCATACAACAACTGAATACGACGAATCGTGTGAAAATCCATCAGTAGTGTAATCACCATGGGAACTAAAATAGCCTGGCAAAGGGATTAATCCCAGGCCCGACGACTAGGGATGCTTTTACACACCATGGCTGGCAGAAACTCCGAGGAACTTAGCCTAGCCGTCCGTCTGACGAAGGGACTTCACGAAGTCGCTCTTGGCGAATTCGTCGACCCTCTTATATGGAGACTTCATGTGACGGTCGCGAACATTGCAACCCCCGCCTCGCGAGGCACATTGCGCAGTTTATGCCGCAGCATAGTACGCATTGTAACCCAAGGAGGGAGACACCCGTGTCATGCACAGATTTCCCGATAGCAAACCAAGTCTTTGGCAGTATACACAGCTGAAATCTTATATTCACCAAGAAATCTTTACCCAGGAGATGTGGCCAGTGGACTTCGCCTTCACGATATACCATCACAGCCTCTACTACGTATCCGTCGCAAGACACAGAGCCTCAGAATCTAGGTCACAACGTGGAAGAAAACGTTGTTTCGGCTTTCTCGCCTTTTACGAGAATTGTAAGAGTACACGTTCTGGCAGGTAATCTCGTCATCTGCCAAAAGCTGCCTGGGGTAATTGGGAAGGGCCCTGCCACCCAGTTCATCACGGCCCAAATTGCCAGCAGGACTAGACCACAGATACGTGCGACCCTTACTTTGCTCTTCCACCTATTATTTACAGAGTGATGTTCATAGCTAATGTCCCATTCTTGAGCGTCAAATAGAACACGAATTGTGGTACATGGGCTTGCTACTCAAGCAAGGTCCCGAGTGGGCTCGCGGAGACGTGGAAAGCCGAACGCCTTGGGCGAAGCAATCCAAGGTCATAAACATCAAGGACCTATGATTTACAAGTCATCAACCGACAGCAGAGTCTCACAAACTCAATCACTTCCCACATTCGTCTCAAGTTTTACTCGAAGTCGAAAGAAAGTTGAAATAAACTTCTCGTCTCGTTTCAGCAGACTGCAGCACGACATGGCACGGGGAGCGGGAGCGGGAGTGTGGGAAACAAAAAAAAAACCGTCTCATCATTTCAGACCAGGGGGGTGTGTGTGTGTGTGTGTCGGAGACCAAACAAAGTCGCACCAAACCTCATCCCCATTGTGTTGACTGTCTCGTCGAGTAAATAAGTATGTACAAAGTAGAAGTGAAATGATTTTCTGGATTTTTCTTCGCAAGCACAACTGTTTGAGCAGAAATAGAAAATAATCTTTGTTTGGTCCCCAACGACCCGCTACGCGAATGCAATGATGCCCGTGTTGATCTTTCCCATAAAAAAAACACACAGAAATGCTTTGACCACCAGACAAAATAGGACAACCCTTCCAATGGACTCGCCATACCAAAGGTGTCTCCCTTTTTTCTTTCCCATCTAGACAAAAAAGAACACCACACCAAAAAAGCAGGCAGGACCGAAAAATAAAGTGCGAGTTGTTTGTATTTTCCCACCCCGGCTTTGTGTTGTTTTGTACAAAAAACTTCGCTTTATTCTCCACCCCAAGAAGTGTATATAAGACAAAAAAGTGTAAGAAGGATAAGAATGTGTTTGTTCATGAATCATAGATTCTTCTCATAACCAAATATAGCTTGACATGCGGGGGGGAAATCAATCTACATCAAACACTTAGAAGAGCTTGTTGGAGCGCTTGTAGTAGCCGGTAGGCTTAGCGGCACCGGAGGCGGTGCCGTTGGTGGGGTAGGGGGCAACGGTGACGGTGGTGGAAAGGGTGACAACGTCCTCATCGGCGGGGCAGTCATCCTCCTCATCGTCCTCGCCGTCGGCACCGACATCACCGGTGGTGACGGGGGCCTCGGCGGAAGCGGTCTTGCTGGCGGTGGCGGACGGGGTGGCAGCGGGAGCAGAGCCACCGATGGTAACGTAGACGGTGGAAGCGGGGATGGTGACGGTCACGGCGGAGGGGCAAGCGCACTGGCCGTCAGCACCGAGGGTACCGCTGGGAGAAGCAGACTCAGCGGTCTGGTTGGGGCGCTTGATGGTGACGGTACGGGTGCCGGTGGAGGTGGCAGTGGTGGTGGTAGTGGGCTCCTCGCCGGCGCCGGTGGCAGAGCCAGTGGGCTTGGTAACGACGATGGTGGACTCAATGGTGGTGGGGATGGCGGTGGTGACGACGGAAGCGGTGGAGCCCTTGCCGACGGTCATGGTAAGGGTCTTGGTAGAGATGATCTCGGTGACGGTGGTCTCGACATCGCCATCCTCAGCGGGGCAGTCATCGTCCTCCTCCTCATCGTCGCCGCCAGCGGTAGGGGGGCTGGTGACGGTAGGGTCCTGAGCAGAGTTGGTAGCGCCAGCGGTGGACAGGGGGATGGAGGGAGCGGCGGTAGGGGTGGTGATGACGGGAGCGGTGCGGGTAGAGCCCTGGAGACCGCCGGTAGAGTGCTGCTGAACCAGAGACTTGGAAAGGCTGGCGGCCTCGGTGACGGGGCAGACAACCTCGGTCAAGACAACGGTGTTGGTGACAACGTAGGTAGAGAGGTCAGAGGCGGAGAGGGTAGCGCTGCGAGCAGGGCAGTTGGTGATGGTAGGGGCGCAGGAGGTGACGGTAGCAACCTCGGTGACCTCGACGGTAAGGGTGGTGTAGCCGGCGGGAGCGGTGGTGTTGTCGCGGCGCCAGTGGAAGTGGCGGGGCTGGTAGGCGGAAGCGCTGGCGAGGGAGGCCATGAGGCCAACGGCGGCAATGGAGGACTTCATTTTGATAGTTGTGTATGGGTTGTTTCCAACGACTCTTTAGATATCTCCACGAGGGTAGACGGTTTGCTTGTTCGGATC